GGTTTTCAGTAGGGCAGTGGCAAAATGGCTTCTGGTTAACCCCTCGCTGGCTCATCTGCGAGCAAAGCCTCAAACTGCTGTTTGGTTCTGCCAGAGAAAATGGAATGCCGATTATACAGTAACTTTAGATATCATTTGCAAAAGAAACCAAAGTTTACTATGCCAAGCTCTGAATGACTAGTATACGGAGAGTAATTATTTTAATTGGCAGTACTCTTAAATTAATCCAGCAACACAGTAGGGTAGTTTTGGGATATACCAAAGGTCATGGTTATTATGTATGAGTTAAAACTTGTTTTGAGATTTTATTGTTGCATATTACTTGATTAAAACAATTGTTAGTATGTCGATCTTCACTCAAACATGTATTAAATGCATGGCCAGAGATGTTTCCATCTCTTCGTGTGCAATAACGTGAGTTAACTAGGTGTATCTCTTCACCAAAAGGGGAACCTGGCCGATGGAAGTTTGTATTAGAGATACATAGTGTAATTACCTGGGTTAGGTTGGAGTAGCTGATTATCTCTGAAGTTTATTATAAAGTATTAGTAATAGATGTCAAGGTGTGAAGGTAAGCTTAATAAATATGTAGGGAACAGTTATTCTAGCATTTCAGCTTCTGTGGATATAGGCATGAAGTTATACAGAGTTAATAAGTTACAAACGGGGGTTTTTTTAACCTTTTTCTTAGATGAGAAAAATTTGTGTTAGGAAAATACATGGAAATTTTGCTGTGCCAGGTGTAATTAGAGATGTAACTAAATCTGGAGAATTCATAATGTTGTTGACAAAAATAATCCGTGAGGGAAGGTAGAGCGGAATGCACAAATACCGTAGTTTAGTCAGTTAAGTTGTCAACTCTTTATTATAATTGGCTTAAACTAATTTATTAGGGATTAAAAAATGGCAGACAAAGTTTTCTCCTAATACAAAACTTTTTTTGAATGTTTCCAGGTAAATATCTGACTAAAATTGTAAAACTGGGATTTATAGGTAGCCTTGTATAAAAGGGTAAAATAGATTACAAGGAAATAATAATAATTATTATTAATTGTCAAATATTTCACACTTTGTCTTTCTGCAGAGATTCTGCGAGAGGATGCTCTCAGTATAACATCTGCAGAGGAGAAAGAAACTATTCCCGTTTTTCCTCTTCTGACTTTTACTCTAGTCTTGGGTTGGAAGACTTCCTCTCTGTAGGTGACACTTCTGGAACGGAGGAGGATACAGACTCAGCTATCTTATATGGCACTTTGCGAGGAAGTGTTGTTGGATTACGATACTACACAGGGATTGTAAGTGCATGATAAATTATAAAGCAGAAGAAAAAGTTGTCAGCTTCAGAAAAAATACGTTTAATTAAATTTCAGAAATTCCTAGAACTTTTGACCGAGTATAATTTTGATAGATTTTTTTTTTCCCTAACTTGCTGTATTTGATGTTCTTCACGGGAAGTACTTAATCTAAAACTTTAATTCAAAATTTAATTAAGGTAGCAAGCTTTCAAACCTGGTTTAGTTATTTGGTAGCTCTGCTCACCCACAAAAGGCAAATGAAAATGACTGAAAACAAGAAATTAGATAGGTCTTTGAACTCTTTACAGGGACAAAAAGGGATGTTTATTCCCTTACAAATTGTGTTAGCAGTTGAAGGTAGTTGCTCCCAGGAATACTTTTGAAATTGCTGACATCTATCAGGTGCCTCTTCTGTAATGCTTTTGGTATTTTTGAGTAAGTAGTAGGTTATTAGACTGGCTGAACAGAATGCTATACCAAATTAATCTTTAAGCTTCACGGTATTTAAGTAAATGTATATTAGATATTTCTGCAAATAATTTGCAACTAAATGAATGTGCTCTGGCGTTTGTTTGTTTTGCTTTGTTAGGTTAATAACAATGAAATGGTTGCACTTCAGAGAGAGCCCAATAATCCTTATGATAAAAATGCAGTGAAAGTAAATAATGTGAATGGAGACCAGGTAGGCCATATAAAAAAAGAACTAGCAGCAGCATTGGCAGGCATTATGGACAACAAACTAGCTTTAGTTGAAGGGTAAGTGTGACGATTATGCTTTTGGTTCCATGAATATAAATAATGGAAATGTTTTTTGTTGCTACACTAGCAAATTCTGTAAACTATTTATAAGTGTTCTCTTTTGACAGAAATGACAGCTTTTGGTAATATGATTAAAGCTTTGTGTTTTCAGACTCTTTATTCTTCTGCTGAACTACTTGCATACAGTTCATTCTTTCCCATATATGATAAAATGTAGAGACACTAGTGAGAGCAAATTCCTTAAAGATTGTTGTGGAACTATTAAATTAACTGCATGTGGTGGTTCATGTAAAAGGTTTACGCAGTATGAGTACTAACACCTATCTGGAACATTCTGTGTTTTGATGAAAATAAGCACTTTGGAATACCTACTGCTGAAGAAATAACAAGGTTTATTATACAAAATTAAACAATTAAAAGATTACTGCTGTGGGTTTTTTTTCCTGCTTTTTATCAGGGTTGTCCCTTACGGAGCAAAAAATGCCTTTACTATGCCTGTACAAATGAGCTTTTGGGGAAGAGAAGAAAGCAAGGAAGCAGTGCTAGATCAGCTAAAAAGGCATGGATTTAAATTGGCTCCTCCTCTGAAAGGTAAGTCTTGAACTTTTGGGGGTTTTTCCTTTTTAAAATATTCAGATTGAACTTGCCATTGGTTGGAAGAAATGTTTAAGGGCTTAATCCTCATCATAGTCCTGCAATTCACAAAATTATTTTTTAACTTAGTTGGGGAATAATGCAGAGCCCGCAGCTATTAATTTTAAACTTCATAGGAAGTATACTTTTGTGTCCTATCTTTTATGTTACCAGCCAGCAATTGGAGAGGCATTTAAGCAACCTCAGAAATATACTCGATTCCCTAAGTTCCTTAAAAATCCATAATGATTCCCTGCATTTCTCCAGACTTGAAAAAAAATTTTTTTAAGAAACAAGTTAGACCCTTTCATAGGGTGAGTGTTTCAGGGACAGTGCTGCTTTTTAGCAGAGTGCTAGGATGTGTATCCTACTAGTGAGGTGTGAGCAAATAGAGATGAGATGTCTCTGAACAAATAAGCTTAGCAGACCTGATGCTTTGCAGAGCCAGCCTTGCACAAAAAGCACCTGTGCTCCTGGAACTAGGCTTTGTGAAAGCAGTGGTGGTCAGGAGTAAGGATGTGTGCAGAAATAAACGCTTGGTGAGGGATAGATCTGTTTTACATATAGGAAGATTTCAGTTTTTATCTTATAGGTTCTATTGCGCATAGCTAACAGAAAAAGAGCTTGGAGTGAAAAAGCATTTTGCGTTATCAGTCATTATACTGTTACCAAGTCAAATTTCATGTAACAACAATTTTTAAGAAACACGGTTGCCATCTCGAAGGATCCCAACCCATAGCTCATTGCCTGTGAGTCTTAGGAAGCTTTGTGGAAAGCCTTTGTGGCCCATTTAAAGTAAAGGATAAATTGAGGCTAAAAGACAAATGGTGAAAGATACTGTCTTACAGCCCACGATCTTAGCAGCATTGTTACTTATGAGCCAGTGAAGGTTGAGATTGGGAAGTCATCATATTGTTGTGTTTTAAAATCCTATCTTTTTTAATGGCAGTAGGTTCAGAATGTGGTTTTGGATCAAAGTGGATTTCTGGGAGAGCTGGTCCGAGTTACAGTGCTCCAGTTCATGCTGCTGTGCAGTTGACAACTGAACAGGTTTGCATTTCATACTTAAACACCTGGAAGTTGGAATTTTAACAGTGGGGGCCTTTAACTTTTTCATTAATAAAACAGTGCTTGTGAAGTGGAAGTATGTTGCTTTTTTTTTCTTTTCTGAACCACAGATTTGCTTTGAAGTCATCTTGAACTTTTGAGCTTTTTCATTTTTATACTGTAAGCAGACGTTTTAGCTGTGACAGCCTTGAGTCCCATGTAATTTTGGGAGGTTTTGCTTGTTCGGTAATTTTTTTACATTGTTGTGGTGGTGTGTTTTCTTTTCTCTGTCCTAATGCTTTACCAGATAACAAATATGTTAAGTTCTCAAATGAAAATAAAATCAGACTTCCAGACTTTTTATCTTCAGCTTTGGCCCAGGGTTATACGTGAAGGGTTGGGTGGTGGTTTGGTTTTGGTTTTGCTTTTTTTTGCTCTTTCAAATTAGAGTGAAGTAGTTACTTTAGTGAGTGTTGTACAAGGATGTGAATATATTTAGCCATCCCTTCTCAAGCTCTTGCTTGTATTGGCATGTGTTTGTCTTGGAAAAACTGAACTTAATTTTTATACAGCAGTAGTTAACAAACATATTCCAGCAAATCAGGTCTAAAGTGGTAGACCTATCTATACTGATTACTATATGACAGGTAATTGTAATTTAATAGTAATTGATTATTTAGTGAGGTTATTTTTAATTGCAGTAATTTTAATTGCAATTTTTGTGTTCATTTATGCAGCTTAAAAGTGAATTTGACAAATTGTTTGAGGATCTGAAGGAAGATGATAAAACTTGTGAAATGGAAGGAGCAGAGGTATTTCTTAAGCTAGAAACCATTTTCTATAAAAATATAAATATATAAACATCTAGATGCCTATTTAGCTTTGTCTGTATGCAGGAGATGCTTGAATCAGAAAAAAATTTAGTAGGTACAAAGGACTTTTTAAAAAAATTTTTCTTCCAAAAATGGAATGTCATATTTAATATGTGAATAGTGCATAACGTATCTCTTTAATTTGCAGGCTGTTGGCACACCCTTGCTTCCCCATCAGAAGCAGGCTTTAGCTTGGATGGTTTCATGTGAGAACAGTAATGATTTGCCACCGTTTTGGGAAGAGAGAAGTAACTTCTATTACAATACACTTACAAATTTCGCAGAAAAGAAGCGACCTAAAAATGTTCTTGGAGGAATACTGGCTGATGATATGGGACTGGTAATAATACTTACCAAGCTTAATTTTTTTTTTTTTGTACAGAACGTGTGCATGTTTCTTGATTGGTTGGTAATTTGGTTCGTTTTCATGTGTGGAAAATATGATGTTCTTTTCTGTTATGCAGGGTAAAACACTTACTACTATTGCATTGATTCTCACAAATTTTCAAGATGGCAAGCCTCTTCCTGTTGAAAAGATCACAAGTTATAAGTTTTATGAGGTGAGATGAAAGAAGATTGTTTTAACAGAGTTAATATAGCAGTTAGTAAAAAAACTCGTGCCTAGTAACTTTCTGTACAGTGAACTTTGTATACATTTTATAGAAAAAGTTACTCAAGTACATCAAATAAGAGGAAGAATAGGGTAGATTAGTTGAAGGTAGGTGGACTATGTTACTTCAGAGTATATAATTGAGCTGTAGACTGTATTATCTTAGAAGTGTATGCTTAAGTATACTCCAAGGAAGAATTTATGAAGGCATAAATATTTTCAATGTTAAGTTTTATAAATTCTTCAGTTTCTTGTAAATTTCTCCTGTATAGGCAAGTTGTGACTGCACAAATAGAAGTGTGTTTTCTCTGGGGCTGTGTATGCATAGTTCCTGTGTGGTTTGGAGGAAGTGCCTGAAACAACCAAGTAGCAAGCAGAAGGTCTTGGTATAAAGTCCATAAATAAATAAATACATCTGGGTTTATATTTTTGCTAAATACTTGAAATGAAGAGAGATGGGGAAACTACAGTTAGTGAACTAACACCAATGGGCAAACTCTTCTTAAGTAGTGTAGTTCAAGTGCTTTTTGCTTTCGTTATGGTACGATTTTCAAGACGGTGAAATAAACTAAATGCTAGGATTAGGTGATATGTTATGCAGTATTCCCTGACAGTATTAAGGCTGGGGGTTTTGTTTCATTTTACCATGCTTGTCTAAATTTAACAAAATAATGGTTTGTGTTTGACCTCAGAATGTTAAGTGGGAAATGTTATTAGTGTGTTTTCTTTCTAGGGCAGCTGTGTAGACTGAGTTTCTCTCCTCTGCCTCTCTACAGTTTCATTTGAACTCTGTATGTGGCTACTAAAAATAAAAAAAAAAATAGCTTTTTCAGCACCTTTAAGTGACTGACTTGCCACTGAGCAAGTCTTTCGTGTTTCAGAGCAGTAATTAATCACTGGTCAGATTAGTGTAGTAATGTTACTGGCTTTTTTTCCAGTTGCTACATTAAAGAATAAAAGTTTCCATTCCTCAATAGGAATCTGGTACTAACAGCAAGAACAACGTTGGACACGGACTATGTAAAGGTGACAGCAAACTATGAAAAGTCCAGTAATGTTTGCATGATAATTAATGTTATTACCTGGGGTACTCTTAGTCTGTGGTCGGTGCTAGTCTTCACAAACTCTTGACAAACTAAATATCTCAGAAGAGTATTTAAAACATACCTTTAAAGATGTTTTAGTTGATATATGAGAAGATTAAGTGCCTTGTGAGAAAGTTGCACCCTGCCAGGAAAGCTACAACATCCAGGAAATGGATTCTGGGTTCCTTTTGCTTTCCTTTTTCCTTCCTTGTAGATAAAACAGGAGCACTTACGCATCTGTTAGAATCTTGTTTAAATAAACAGTAAAGATTAGTAGTTAAATTGTAATTAGCTTCTGTATTAAGTCACTGTTTTGTTTTGTTTTTTTTTTTTGAAATATTTTTAAGTAATGAGCAAATGCAAGTATTTAGAAGGATTTTATCACACCTATAGTTTTCAGGTTGTATCGGGAGAATTTATAGATGTATATGGAAAAATTATAGTTGCTGTTAGTATGTTCATCGTGCTCTTGAAAATGACCAAAGAAATGTATGGGGCTTGAAGTTTTCTTGCAGTAACTTTCCCTTGCTGTCCTCCCATGCAAGGAATTTTAGTATGGATGGCCTAACTGATAGCACAAGAGAAATGAAAGGGACTGATAAGGAGAGACCACATTAGTATGAACTGCCTCTGGTGAAAGTTATTTTTATCAGTACTCTGGAAGGGAGAAAATGCAGACTTTCATGGGGGTCAATATGAGTGTCACCAGAAAATCAGAACCTTTATCAAAGCTGAAATGCCTAGCAGCATCCAAGATTTTTTTTTTTTTTCCCAGAGCATCAAGCATTTTAACAAGATACTATTTACAGCAGTGAGGGGAGAGCCTGTTTCTACTGTTATTTAATCTGAAAAAGTGGTGATAATGTCTTTCAAACCCTTATACCCCCCCGCCCCCATTTCTCATTCTATTGTACATTAAATTGATACCTATTTCTTGAGTCTTTGCAAGTTTTGCCATCTTCAGGATTGTATTAAACATTTTTAATATTTAAAAAAAAAATCTTTACTGAAGTTTAAATCTGGAATTCAAGCATGAATTTACTTATCTGAGTTACAGCAAAACTCTTTCTGTAAGTGCTGTTGCTTTCAGTTTTGATATCAACTCTGTCCTAATGCGTTTTCTTTTTTGCATTTGCTTCTGATATTCTATTATTGGCAGAGTGGAGAGGTGATGTTTTGTTCACTACCTGATAGAAGACCTTAAAAAACCCCAACAAAACAAAACAACTCCCCCGTGGTCCCCACCAACCCCCTCCCCCGTGCATCTGTGATGTTACCACATTTATTCTGTTAATGTTGCTGTTATTCATTTAGCTTTTGGCAACGTGGAAATCATTAATTAGTAAGGTTTAACCTGTAAAAAACCTTCACCATTTAGCATTATTTAAAACTTCTTTATAGAACTTTACCCTTACTGTTAATAGTATAATGTTTACATTTGTTTTTTCCTCTTTCTTGACAGTTTGGTTTTGACCACCTGCAAACTCAGTACGCATTTTATGACTGTAAATATTTAAGATTGTTTTAAGAGTATTTTTATTTTTCACTTGTGATCGCAGTATCAGTAGTACTTGTCCCATGCAGAACTAAGGTTGTTTTAAAGGAAGTTTGTACTTGTTCTTGATAAAGTTACACTAAAGCTGGTTTGATAACCAAGCTGAAGACTATGTGTATTTTTCATAAATACCTATTTCTTCTTTATGAAGACTCTAGCAATGTGATGGAGCCTGGTGGTTCTAACGTAAAAAAGTTTGAAACTACTCCGTTGAAATACTCAAGTTGTCTTCCAAAAAGGTAGATAGCTGGAATAATCTTTTTCTTTTCATTGGTTTGCTACATAGATTTCGAGTAGAAATGAAGTGATGCTTGGTTATGATTAACCTTAGCCTAAAATGTATTCCCGCTCTCTCCTCACCTTTCAGTATGCTATACTTCTGCTTTCATTTATCATAAGTGTTCTGTATCTGTGTTGCACTTTGGAATATATTAAAAAAGCATTAACTCATTCTACGTGGCTTGTGTGACTGCATGCTTGGATGTCTCCTTCAGTAGTAAAGGTGCCTGATAACATCAGTGTGTGGCATTTAAAAAACTGGCTGTGAAGTAGTCTTTCTTCTAGTATCAATTGGGTTTTTAAGTGGTTAAGAAATACTTTGCAGGCATGCTTCTGACAGAGACACAGCTTTGAGCTGATGAAGTTGTGAAGCTTACTAATGTGTTTGAACCTTCCCACCACACTAGCCTCTCCTTATAATTGGTGTGAACTTCAGTGATAATCTGTACCAAGTTTTATGAGCATCATTCACCCTGCAGCTGTGTTCTGTGCTTTCCCTTTTTGTAACCCTTCTAAAGAGAAAATCTTCAAATCACAATGGTATCTTATTTGCAATATCAAGTTCATTTGCTTTATGCTCTTGAGATTTAGTATGTAAATTCAAGCAGTAGTAGAGTTGTGGGTTTTTTGTTTTTTTTTTCTTTCTTAATGATGATATCTTAGAGATAAAGCCAAGAAACCCAGATATTCAGGAAGCAGTGACTTGGGAGAGTCTGAAGAATGGCTACTGCAACAAACAGAGAGTAAGTTGATTTTTTTCTGTTTTGGGGGGGGGGGAGTGTTTGTCTTTTTTTTTTCAATTGGTTACTGTAACACCTGGTGTCTTCCTTTCTGAAGGCAAACTAAACAGGATTTCAGATTAACTGGAAAAGGAATTAACTAAACTACTTGGGGTTTTTTGTTGTGGTTTTTTTTTTTTATTTAACCAAAACTTTAAGCATATAATTTTAGAAATTGCTGAACAGGAAAGCAATGCTTTAGTCCTAAGTGTTGTAGTTTGTTTCCTTAGCTGAATGAGTGGTGGTGTAACAAGCTATGAGCAGGGACAAATGGATGGTGAAAACCAGAATTGCTAAGATTTTTAGAATTTTACATAGACTTGTTGTCAGGGCACTAGGGTTGGAAAAACAAATTCAAAAAACTAAGTCCATCTTTTGTAGTAAATACCTGAAATATGATCATGAAGAGGCAAGAACATGTGTCAGTTGTTGAACTAAGTATCTTCCATGGAAAAAAAATGAAGGGCTACAGGTACTCTGGAGTAAGTAGTTAAGTTTAGGTTTAAAGTACTTGGAATGAAACCTTGTGCTAAACTATTTTTTCTTTTTAAATGATTGGTAAACTGCATTCCTCTGAAGATTCATAACCTGAAATAGATGTATAAGATACTGTATTTCTACACACATGCCTGTCAGAGTTCAAGGAGTGTCTGGACGATGCTCCTACCTGCATGGTTTAGTTTTAGGTAGTCCTCTGAGGAGCAGGGAGTTGGACTTCATGATCCTTATGGGTCCCTTCCAACTCGAGATATTCTACATTATTGTATTGGAGAGGAGAAGTAATTTGGTTAACAGGTTTGACTTTTATGAAGCGTGTCATAAAAATAAATGCACACACATGCTCTGCATGGGGTGAAAAACCTGTGTTTGTCTGGTTTTTTGCAGCAACTTCCTGTGTTATCCAAGAAGATACTGGCTTTGCATCTGTTCTTCTACCTTCATCTACTTGTTTAAAAAGACAAACAAAGAGAAAAGGTAATGAAGGGATAAACAGACAATATTAATTTCTGAGTTTTTTGAAGCTGAAGTATTATACATATTTGATATAATAAATGAAGCTTATGTCTTTGTAAATTGCTTTGATGCTGTTCAGGTGAAGAAATTTAGAAAGGACTTCAGGGAACCGTAAGTTTCTTGAACTTCTACTTTGCCTTAAAGTGAACTGTTATGCCACTAAATATGACTTCTGTTTTCTCAGGTATCGCCAGCGTTCAGTCAGTTGAGAAGAAACATTCTGATGATGGCCCCAGAGCAACACTGATTGTATGTCCACTGTCTGTCCTAAGCAACTGGATTGTAAGTGCTAAGCTGTTTTAATGTGTAAATGTGCTATATGTTGATTATGATGCCGTAGAAATAGTACTCCCTGTAGTCTCTCATGCTAGTAAAAGGTCACGGTTTACCTTTTTTATGAAACAGAGCTGCTTTCACAAGGGAGGTTTATTTGATAGAAATTTAAAAACTGGAGTAGTATTGTAACGAGAGTGCAGTTCCATGAGTAGCGAGCTCACCACTATCGGAAAGAGCGAGCTCACTTTCCCTGCTTTTGACTAGGCAGATGCACTTTGGCACTTCTGGAACTCATGTGATTTAACTCCTTAAACCAGATGAGGAAGGTGGAGGAGACAGGTCCTTCTTCTTGCATGCTCAGAATAAAATATTATTGTACTTAATTGATAATGCATGTGACATTTCATTTACTAGAGGTGTTCAGTAATTTGGCAATCTCGCCGGTGATTTGTGGGAGTAGGTCTGCTGGGGTGAACAGGCTGAAGGGCCCTTCTAGCTCTGTCTCTGCATTAGTTAAATTTTTTTGTTTTCATGACATTTTGAATACAAGTATTAAGGGGATATCTTTAACTTTCAAGTTATATTTTGTTTGGAAGTTTTTGTTGTCTGTGGTTAGGACATTAATAAGAAAAGGAAACAATTTAATCTTAGACTGTAGGTAAAACATTGAAATTGTGTAATTGGGAAACATCGAATAGTGTAAAAAAAAAAAGTACTCTTTTTGTCAACTCAAAACTGAATTAAGTATTTAAAAAGAAAACTTGTGACTCTGGTGCTTCAAACTTCAAATTGTTGATTTTTATTGGCTGGTGAGATTACTGTATTCTGAGTGCTTCACAGAACAAATTGTAGGGAATATACACACTGGTTTTAAAATAAATGCTTCGACAATTGTGCTGTCATTTATGTTAAAACTTAGGTGGTTAACCCAGGAAAGGGAAGAAGCTGTAAATGAACAGTGAAAGAATAAACAATGAGAAGATGAAGGTAGAAAGTGAAAAAGAATATAAAAGCTCTTCCGTTACAGTTTGGGAGGAACAGTAGATTTTGAAGTGCATATAGCATCAGGATGTGAACTAATACTGTGCCAGAAGTAGAGCTAGAGTTACCAGGATGTGATACTGTGTCTATTACTAATGACTGAGGTGACTACTTCTGGTCCCTCTTCTCACCTGGGTGGAGGGGTAAAAAGAAACCCAAATTCAAATTGCTTTTGTTAATCCAAGTGGATGTAGAATGTCACAGAGCTAGAGGAAGTTAAGGCAACTTACAAGAATTTCATTCTAACAATCACGTAGTAACACAGTATCTTTTGGATGACTTTTGACAACTTTTCTTTCAGGACCAGTTTGAACAACATATCCACCAAGATTTTCATGTAAATATTTATGTTTATTATGGTTCTGACCGTAGCAAAGACCCATCAGTTCTTTCAGAACAAGACATCGTACTGACAACATACAACATCTTAGCTACTGATTATGGAGTAAGTAAATGAGAAAGTGTTCTTTGAAGATCCCTTACTGTTCAAGACTCCCAGTGTTTGGGCTAATGATGGCAGTATATTCAAGTGCTATTCTGGTAGGCAATCAAAAGGTTATAGCTGTAGTTTTGCTTTACATACTTTCTTACAGGTTCGCTGTGGTAATGAAGGGAGTTTTTTATTGCTCCTCTAGAGAAAATTATTTGGCTGCAATTATGGCAGCTTAAGGAAGAGACTTTTTAAGGATAGAAAAGGATGGCAAGTATGTAAATCTCCCCAAATCTCAGTGGCATGAGGCTCCCATTTCTGCCTTCTCCTATCAAATTTGAAGAACATGGAGCATTTAAAAACCATAATTCTGTAGTTCTTGTTGCACATGGGCTGCAACCAAGTAGCTCATTGCATGAGATGTATTTGTAAAGTGATGGTTTTCATAGAAATTCCAGCTATTTTAAAAGCCTGAAGATTACATCTTTAAGTATAATATAAACTTTGAATTTGCTCTCTGATCCAGTTTCCATATCTTTGTGTCTTTGAAGCCTTTCTTCTTTTCAGGCTAAGCTTATTTTTGCTGTAGCTCATTCCTCATATTCAGGTATGAGAAGACTGGTAACGTTTTCCAGGAATCACTAAATCTAGAAGAAGGAATGCCTCATTCTTAGTTTTGCTCTTCTGTGCTGATAAATAAACAAGATGCGAATAAATACTATCCATTATTAATTGTGGAATTGTTATATTAATAGCTTGCTTAATCCATATTGCAAAAAGGATTTTAAATTGAGTCAAAGATTAAAAGAATACTGTGTTTCAGATCAGAGGTGACAGCCCTTTACACAAAGTCAAGTGGCTGAGAATTGTGTTGGATGAGGGGCACACTATACGAAATCCAAATGCTCAGCAAACTAAAGCTGCCTTAAATCTGGAGGGACACAGAAGATGGGTACTTACAGGTAAAATATTTGACACCAGAGGAAATGCAGTGCAAATCATCGTAGTATAACACCATCTTGTGTTTCCACTTTGGCTTTTTCTGGGAGATGGTTAATGTCTGTGTCAGATTCATTTGGAATGTTTTTAAACTTGTCTTTGAGCAGTGATTTAGGTGTGTCTTCTTTTAGTTGTTTTTGATTTTGTTTGCTTGGTTTTGTGGCTTGGTGGTTTTGTTTGGGTTTTTTGTTTTGTTTTTGTTTTTATTCAGTTCATAGACACAAATTTTAAAATAACTTTTGGTACACAGGTTTGATGGAAGTGCAAGTAAAAAGGGACCTATTTATGAACTGACATATTATGTCTGGTTAGAAGCTCACACTCTTAGGTAGTTATATGAACCTCAGTAGCTTTTTGAAATGTAATAGTCATCCTAGAAACTGCCAGGGACCATGCAAGCATGTGATCCTTAAATGTAATTTAAAGAAGATCATGGTATAACCACTGCTGGTGAAGCTGAAAGGGAAAGAATAACATCCAAGTCTTCCCAGCACTGAGAGCTGCGGTTTTCTCACTCTTAAATGTGTGTTTTGTAATATTTTAATTAAGAAAATAATATGTAGTCTACTTAATGACATGTCAACCTAGTTATGAGAGACCTTGTCCATGGTGTATGTTTTGGAGAAAGCACAGAACTTTCACTTTGACTAAAAAATTGTATTTTTTAGTTTCTTTGAGGTTTTACAATCTTTTTTTGTTTGTTTGTTTTCTGTTTAGGCACTCCTATTCAGAATTCTGTAAAGGATTTGTGGTGTCTTATTTCCTTCTTAAAACTGAAACCTTTCACTGATCGAGAGTGGTGGCACAGAACAATTCAACGTCCAGTCACAATGGGAGCTCCAGGAGGACTTGGGTACGAAGTGTTCCCAAAGGGTTTGTGAACGAGTATGACTGGCAGTGCTTGGGCAATGTGACAAATTAGTGTTTCACGTTTAAAATTGGAATGCAGGTGTCATTAGTTTTTATTTAAATTTTTTAGTTAAATTTAATAAATATTAAATAATTTGAATTATTTAATATTTCAGATTGATTAATTATATTGTACTCCTGGGCTTGGATTTTGTACAGAACATGTATTTATGCAATAGACTAAAAAAAAAAAAAACAACCCCAAAACAACAAGCCAACCCCAGCTGGGTAATATATTGTCTATATATGTATTTTTAGGCGTTTACAGTCTCTGATTAGGAGTATCACCCTTAGAAGAACTAAAACAAGTAAAGTTAAAGGAAAACCCATTTTGGAGTTACCAGAACGTAAAGTACTTATTCAGCATGTTACGCTTACAGAGGAAGAGAGGCAAATATATCAGTCTGTGAAGAAGGAGGGCAAAGCTGCTATTAGCAGGTAAGTAGAAGGCTTTCTTAATCTGGAAGGTTGAAGTTTGATATCACAAACTTGCATTTCAGAAGTTTTCATTATGTTAGCTCTAGTAGCCAAGTGTGTCAGTTTGTATGCCATAAGCTAATAACTGCAAATTAGCATAGCATCTGTTCAGTTCTGAAGAGTGAAGTAGAGACTATTGCAGAACTATGTATTAGAAGTTCTGTCTTGTGAGAAACAGAAAGGGATACCAGATACGTAAAGAATGGCCTTAATATTTTTGTCACCACATGTTAGCATTTCTTCTAGTAGAACATGCTACTGGTAGCATTTTGTACCTTGTTTCACGAGAGGATTTGAGAAAATATATTCAAACAGGAAAGTGAAAAATCAGAGAATCATTCTAGCAGCTGAACTTGATCACTTGATGTCATCTGTTACTTCAGGCTGTAGCTTTTCACACTAATGATAAAACTCTTGTTCAGATTTTTCAGTGAAGGGACTGTACTAACTCACTATGCTGACATCCTTGGTGTCCTGCTCAGATTGAGGCAGCTTTGTTGTCATCCTCATCTTTGTATAAATACATCTTCTTCTAGTTTTTCAGCTGGTGAGTGAATGCTTTTGGTTCCTGTGTTTCTAAAAACAGGACTCGCACTTTGTATTCAAGAACAGAAACACGTTTGTGTTTTTCCAAGCTTTCTAGCTTCAGCCTTCCTCTCTTCAGCCAGCCTTCCTCTTTTCAGCTTGGATTATTGAACTTTTAGCTTTGTTACTTTTATTTTTTTCATACCGTAGTATGTTTGAATATGTTTGAGAAGTGGGTACTTGAGCACATACTCCAATATGAACGAAAGCAATGAAGTACGAGTGGTTACGAAAGCTAGAAGCTGGAGTTAATAAGCTTTGACAGCCCATACAGGAATGACCGAAGAGGACCTCTGCAGAGCCAAAGGCAGAAGGCTTGTTAAAAAGCAGTGTATCTGCTGTTGTAATAATTCACAGAAGTGCTTTTACAGTAAATTTTTTTTCTTTGCCTCAGGAGAGAAGATGTAGAGGAGCTTTGGAGAATGGCTTGTAGATTGGTAGCCATCTCAGCAGAACCATAGCCTCTTCAGCAGAATAGGAAACTGTTGACTTTGTTACGGCTGTAAGGAAGGGTAAACACTGAGGACTGCAAGGAGAGTGAAATTTTATTTTTGACAAGCCAGAACTGTACAGCTGCATAGTGTTAAAAATTATATGCATTTCTTTCAGAAGAAAGTATAGTCTGTTTGAAATACTCTAAATTTGAGAATTCTCAAATTTTAATAGTTTGAAAAATCCTATTTTGAGATGCCATTGGTATAGGTGTGATTTTTCAGGAAACTGAAAGACCGATGAGATATGGTCAGAACCTTTTTTAGAAGGTTGTCATTTATCTTCCTGAAAAATACAGGATGGAGAAATGATTGGATAATTGTTCAATAATTATTTAGAAATTAATTAGTAACTAGTATGATTTGAATTTCTTTACTTAAAAAATAAAGCACTCTTACATATAAATAGTGTCATCTCCGTAGTATTGTTACTACTTGAACAGCTGCCATATGAAAACTGCTTGTTCCCATTGGGGATTGTGTTGCACACGTACTAACACTGAGCCTGCAGTCAAGGTTCTTTTGAATTCTAATTACCATTTTTCCAAGTAAGATTACTCTTAATGTGTTTTGGAATAGTAGGTCGGAATTTTCTGTAGTATTTGGTAGCTTGTGTTTTTATACATTGTAGGCTATATCCTCACTGTGTATAAACTGTCCTAATTGCATTTTGATCAATGGAACTGTGTTGATGTGTGCCAGCTCAGAGTGTTTCCTATATGGAAATCTGTTTTTAAATATCTTTCTGTATTTGCAGATGATAAAACTCCTGAAGAACTGCATGAGACATTAGTGAGTAAAATGAAGTTGGTTCTGAGCTCTGGTTCAGATGAAGAATGTGCAGTTTGCTTGGAATCACTGACTCTTCCTGTGATAACACGCTGTGCGCATGTGTTTTGTAAGCCATGTATTTTTGAAGTCATCAGAAGTGAACAGGTTGGTTGTTCTATGGTTAATTGTAACAGCTATTCAAAAGCAATGAACTGGTATCACCAGAAGTCCATCTAGCTATTGTTCTTCTGAATCATAAATGGTGAACAGTGTAAACCTAATCATCAGCTGGGCTATAAAAACTATTGGCCTGAAGTCAAACTATGGAGAGAGTAGCTGTCAAACTGAACAGTGTTAAGGTCCATCAGTATTTTCAAAGACCTTTTCCATAGTTCTCACCTTACTTTGTCCCAAGGGTAAAAGTGATGGCATCAAGTGCGGCATTGTATACCTCCATATAGCTGGATGCCTTTTCGCTGCTTGTATGTGATGTGATGCGTGTATATATTGTTGTGCTTGAAAGAGACCAAAGCTGTGTATTGAAAGTTGACTGTTGAACTAAAATCATGTCTACTCTCCTTATTCCAAGCTGATAACCTTCTACAGTGAAATAGCTGCCTTGCTAGAGCACCACCTTTATGGCCCTTCTCTCTCCAGAATAAGCTTGTGGATGAGCCTCTCTTGCTTTTTTGAAAAACATAGCTTTTATTTTTCTTGTGCATTTCTAAGCTATACTTTTCCTTCTTGTTTGCCTGTTGCTTTCTAGGGCAATCTGACAGTGTGGTAGTCTCATCATCCGTATCCAGTGCTGCTGCACTTCCTCTCTGGAATTGTTCTGCCTCCTACTCAGCCACAGTAGGGCTGCAAGTGCCAGACTAAACGTAGGTGGTGTTCTTTATAGGAGGCAACAGGAGACAAATTAGTCCCTGCTTGTGCATAATCAGTCAAGCTAACAAGACAAAGGTAGGAAGTGTTGTTTGGCATGTAGATTGACTTTATTTCATTGCCAGACACGCAAGGTTCTGATGCAGATATCCCAGTTGAGAGTTTCTGAGAATTTTGAGAGAAACTAGTGGTGTGAAATTATTCTCTAAGGGAAGAGCACTTGCAGAGGCCTTTTTCCAGTGCAGAGGTTCTTGATGTGTCTGTAGCAGTCAGTGCCCCTACTCAACCTTCAGGTGTATTTAGGCGTGCAGAGAAATAAATCAGGTTATGACGTGATGGAACCTGTATTACTTGACTGTACAGTCAAGGTATTTACTATGCTTTGCCTAGAAAGGACCTTGGAATCTGCAGAACTAGGGCCTTTACCCAATCCCACATTGTTCCATAGATTGCTTTCATAGTAGTGAAGTCTGAACAGAGGTGGCTGTAGGTTCTGCTCTTTTGAAGATGAATTATCGTGAGTTTATAAAGCAGCGAGTGAGTAAGCCTTTCTTACGTTCAAACTGATTCCTGATTTAAATCAATTCCCAAGAAAGTTTTTGCAGCTTCTAGCCAAAACACTGACAGAGATCTAAATTCCAGAGTTGGGGAATTCACTGTTTCCACATGATAGGTATTTGTCCTAGTGCTGCATCTCAGTTGGGTAGTTCCTGTGCCTGAATGGTTACAATGCAACTCTCTCCTAGTAAATAGCTCAGGAAAGTAATTTACTTGCCACCTTAAAAACAAAGCAAACAAACACATACCCCCTCTCCAAAACAGCTTGGGTTCAAACAGGATTCTTCCAGGCAAGATGCCTGTTGTTTCCATTATTAATACAAATGAGAGCATTAAGCCATCAGTGAGGAATGGGATGTGAAGCTGCCAACACAGAACTGCTGAGTGAGAAGTTTGGCCTTTCATTGTATTACAAACCTGGAGACCATTTTATCTTTCTAATGTTAACCTAAAAGTATTTACTGAAATTGGAAAAACTTTTGTAGTAGTTAACAGCTTGAGAGATAACACCTTCATTTCAGTCTTTCATTGAGGCTAGCTTCAGACTTGTGCAAGTAAGTAAAGATCCTATGCAGAAGTCCTAATAAAGCTATAAAATCTCTACAGTAATCTAATGTCTTTGTGTATTAACTGCATTCTTGTAAAAGCTTGCCAGATATGCATTAAAACATTGTTTTTTTTCTTCTAGTTGTTGATTGCGAGACACTTTTTGTCACTTTCATATGCTTTCACTGCAAGTCTTCCATATCTGTGTTGGCATTGTTCAGCTGTGTTGTGGGTTTTCTGTTGTTTTTAATTACAGTACTAAATTGAAGAAGGGTTGTAGAAAGATGTGATCCTGTTATTTTAAAAAAAAAAAAAAAGGCCCTTCAACATTGTTGGG